AGGTTCGAATCCCGCGAACGGGCTGGCTGCATGGGTGTTTTCGTGGTTTTCACCATGTGTAACGTGCATACGAGCCAGTTTCCCTTAAAAAGTCCTCCACGAAGGCATCCCTCCCTTAAGGCAGATAGCCCTCGGGTGCTTTGCCGTAATCTAATAAACCAAACCTTTGCAAAGACAAATGTTACCTAAGGCGTTATGAAATAATTATGGTCTTCGACGGAACTTAATAATAATAGGCCGATAAACACCTTTCCTAAGCGGACCAAAAATTCACCGAATCACCTTTATATCTGTAAAAAATCGTCAAACTGTACCAAGGTGATTTGCGCTAATAACCAGTACCTTTATTTTCTTTATCACTTTCGCTCTCAGTTTTGGCAGTTCTTTCAAAACTTTCATAGTCAGTTTTGACACGTTGCTTCAACATTGTTGTGAACATTGTCTGGCACAAATTCTAAAAATTAATCTTGATAACTTACCTCTACTGAATCTGAAACATTAGCTATAGTTTACAACTCCTCTGAGGTTTCTTCAATATAAAAGTCATATTTCCGAAAACAGTTTTTAATTAGCTTTAAGAGATTAACCCCTCTGGCACTGACTATAATGCATGGTTTCTTGCAAAGAATCGACTTTCTTATCTTCTTCTAAGTGCCTACATTTTCACAAAATTCAATCTGTTCATCAGTTTCCGAACGACTTTTCTGTAATGGCTTTTGAAAGCTTTTTTAATACCAAAGTCTAAAAACTGAATGTTAGAAGATGTATTTGAAGGAAGAGACACTAATTTTGCATGCACTACGGACATGGGCAGCATGGAAAGCTTTCATAAGTATTAAGCCGAACATTCTGGTATTGAAGGATCGGTCTTTTGTCAATCTGAGTCTTAAAAGCGACGAAGATGAATTTAATAAATGGCGATTTTCCTATTGAATTGTTTTTCCTATTGATTGGCGATTTTCCTATTGAATTATTGTATTTGTTTTGGAAATACTAGAAATCTGAACGTAATAACCGGCTAAGTTTAATACGCTGCGGATTCTGCATAATTTAAATTTTTTATTTTTTTAGAATTGTTTTAGATTTTAAGAATTCATTATGTGTAAACGGGAATAATGTTAATTGCCAAGGAATAACGCATAGGAGGTTATTGTTATTCTCGTCCACGTTAGTTTAGTCTAACCCAAGTCTAAACCTAATTTTTATCAGTAAAACTGGAGATCTCTACGATCTCTATTTAAAGTACGGTTATATTTATTGAAAATATAAAATTAAGTTATTTTTTAATGATATTTTTCCGAATTTGACTACAACACACTGTTTTTCTAATAATTAAATATATGTTAAAATTCTATAGTTAAGAAAAGGTAGTCTTTTTCGGTATGGGAAAACAAGTCACAAACAGTTTTCTATAGAATGATATATATGCGTCGACGTTGTTTCAAAGTTGTCAATAAAAAGTTCTCAAAGTGTGCCAGGATATATTTCTTATGTTTAGAAAAATTTTACCACAGTCGAAAATGAGCTGATAACGACAGTACGTTCTCTTTCGCTCGAATTATCAAGTTGCTGCACTTGTTTTTCTACAGAAAACTATTGGGCGCGTGTTGCCCTGTAATAAAAAAGATTCCCCCCCCCGAAAAAAAAAGAATTAAATTTGTTTGATAGGGAGCAGTGTCATCGGGCACAAGAGAGGCTAATTAGCTAGCCATTAAAATGCTGAAAATCATCCAACCTCTTTAACTAATAATGTACTATTTTTATACCATTAGTAAAGGTTTCGCTGACTTATTTAGTTTAATTCTGAAATCAGACCCACTAGCGGCCGAGCGGTAAAATCCCTGAACACTGGTAGTTCGGTTCGGCGTTCGAATCCCGGCGAACGGGCTGACTGTATGGCCGTTTTCGTGGTTTTATCCATGTGTAACGTGCATACGCACTAGTTTCCCTAAGAAAGTCCTGAAGTTTGTTTTGTTAAAATATTTCTAAATTCTTACAATCCCTTTTTTTTATATAAAGGCTTTTTAAAATACTCAGTATTTAGCATTTAAGATATTTTTTTTATCAATAATGAGTTAAAATGACAACACACAAGAAACCTCAGGGTTTAAATGGAAACGCTGAATGAGATGCAGTTTACCTTTGTTTAACTGCTGTAATTTAGAATTCTGTTATTGACGAATTCCAGCAAAAATTTCAGAAGAGCTTAAACAATCAAAACAGTCAAAAATTTCTAGGATTTAATAAAGCTGACGACATAAAATACACTATATCTTACAGACCGGATTCCTTAACCCATGATTATTAATACTTCTGGTCCCATATGCCCTTGCATGAACCTTAATCTGACAAGTTTTTTACTTGCCATGGAATATCAATCTCGGTACCTTTAATCACTTTCAGTGAAAATACACATCAACTTCATCTCAAAATTTATTAGCCTTATGAGCGAAACCAATCATAAGAGAAGTCGCCTGATTTTTCAGAATGCACGAAAATCTGGCAACTAAGGATAAAACAATTCTTCAGTTTTAACACACAACGACGCAATTTTGGTACGAGTCCTTTCAGTTATATTCCGAGTTCCAACGGTTTTTATACACAAATTCTCAGATCTTTTTTTTTTTTTTTTTTTTTTTTTTTTTGTTTTATACCCAATTTTAAAACAACGCGCTTGTGAGAGTTTCCAGCAATGGAAGAAATTATAGGAATATAGTATTTTGCAGCAGAACCGCTAAAATCTATTTTGAAAGCGATTGCTATAAAATTTCCTCCAGAAAAAAAGAAAAAAATCGCTCTTAAGTACGTTTATTAATTGATTTTCGGAATAAGTATTTAGTTAAAACATGAAATACATTTCATAAATTTTTAGTTATAAATCAGCCTTTTCTTTTGTATAGAATCGCTAAATTGCGTCAAGACGGTTGCGCTAATTCCTTAAGTACCATCTTTTTTATACGGCTATAATCGTTTATATATTAAAATGATGTTCGCTAAAAATATTTTATCTGTGCTTCCATAAGACCTGACTATACCAGTGGTGAACAAATTTTTCCCTATGCCAGTTCAAAATTAAGAATTCATATCCATTATTTAAACTTTTAAAATTCTTGATTAAATTACATGCTTGTTCCCGTGTAGGTTTTTCAGTTTCTTCAAACTACGGCTTTTGTCTAACCTCCTGACTATAAATAATAATAATATCGAAAAGGCTTGGTTTATGTGATTATTAAGCCACGAGGGCTATCTGCATAAGGAGGGATGCCTTCGTGGAGGACTTTCTAAGGAAAACTAGCTCGTAACATGTTACACATGCGGAAAAATATGAAAACGCCCATGCAACTAGCTCGTTCATAGGTTTCGAACCTTCTGACCGAATTACCAGTGCTCAGCGATTTTCCCGCTCGGCTGGTGGGCCTACATTGCAAAGGCATTTATTACATAAAATTAAGAACATATTGTAGAAAAACAAAATCCATTCATTTACTTGATATACACTTGTTCCCTTGTTTTGAAACATTTGCTTACCTATTATTATTACTTATATATTCTGCCAATTTTGACATAGTTTAACGTCCATAAATCATGTGCTTCTCAAGCAGTACGCTGAGTAAAATTCATGAACCATTCTGAGTGCGTAACATACAAGAAGATTTAGTTTATATTACGATGACTTATATTATTTACATCATTATTCCTCTAATACAGATTAAAAACTTTAAATTTTTTAATGAATGAGCAACAGTTTGTAGCTGGAGAAATGTTATTCATATTTAACAATATTTTATAATTAAAATCTATAATAAGTGAGTAAAAATAATTTAATAAATAAATAATTTAAAATTTTTCTTAATTTTTTTAAACTTTCCTGTGAATTTTCGTTGTAGATGTAAGCTATACTTAAACATATTCATGCAAAAAATATACGATTAGTAAATACTCAGATTTCAACAGTATAATGTTAAATTAAAATAATAATACAAAACTGATTAATTAAATTCAAACCCTGTATCAATTTGTACAAAATATGTAGAAAGCCAAAAATAAATAAATAAATAAATAAATAAACATTATTATTCTTGCTTATATTAGTACGCTTTATAAATTAACATCACTTAAGTTTTAATTACGAAGCCATAGTCATCAAGTTTCAGTTAAGAATGTCTCGCAAAATTCTGGTATAAAAATATGTATGACCAATTAATGTGTTACTTTGTATACAGAGCAATTACAGATATAAATGCTGTCAGAAATTACTAGAAACCTTCTGTTAGCCATACGGAATTTAATAATTATTTGATTATCCAACATATATAATCTTGGATTAACCGTACAAATACCATGAGAGAACTATATAAATAAAATATAAAGGACAGATATTATATATTAAAGTATAACAATTAACCATGTATTAAAATATAAGTATAATATCTAAATAAAAATTAAATTTCATAAAAAGAGAATAATGAAATTATAATCAATAATCAGGCTATGTATGCTTTTGCAGCATGCTATGCGTAGGCTAAAGATTTAAGATCCCATTCCCTTAAAAAAAAAAAAAAAACATTTGTGAAAATTTTAACATGCATATATTTTATCCTCCGAATTTTTTAAAAAGAAAGAGTTTTAGGAGAAAAATAACGTATTAATAAAATAGCAATAAATATGCTGATTAATAATTATAATTTAAGTAATGATTATAAATAAATCTATACATTATTATTTAACAAAAATTTGAAGATTCCCGACCAAAAATCGGGAAACACTGCGTTGAGAAAATACATAAAGTAAAAGCGTAATACTAAGAAACATCTCACGATAATATTAAAAGAAAAAATATGCCAAGAGAAATATTAAAATCAAGTAAAGCTGAGAAATAAGAGAAGAATAAAATATGATTTTTTATTCTCAGAATCGGTGAAATCTAGGACAGTTCTATGTGAACGCCAGATTATATTATAATACGATATCAGAACTAAAAAAGATAAAAGGCCACTTGCCTCCTTTCACAGCCTCGGTCATGATAGATCCATCGGTGATGGGGCCGTCCCCCTTATGCTTTCCATTTTCCAGGAGGGGGGTCCCTTCCTCTTGAATTGTCGCATATTCAACACGGTTGCTGCGGTTGATCCGAATGGAGCCATGCTTTAATTTATCAGACAAATCCGAAGAGAGCGTTTGCCATGGTATGTACGTTGGGAAATCAACGCTACTGCTGAAACTTTCCTGGAAAAACATTCCAGCCATATCCCGAAGAACTCAGCCCCTGGAGTTTCCAGTATCAGAGATCACGACGCACAGGAAAAGAATCGATGTTATCCCAAAATCTGAGGAAAAACAGCAGTCGCAGATCACGTGGCACACAGTTGAATTTTGAACCTTGACGCTGTCGAAACCCCTGAGGGAAAAACCAATTAAAACATTATCGTTCAGCGCGCTGATTTTAATCTGATGTTCAGCGCCAGTCAAAAGATCTATTTATTCTGGTCGAAACCGATTTTTAGCTCAGCATGCGAGGCAAAGTTGCAAGCGAAGGGACGGAAAAAACCTTGAGGAACTTGAATTTTTACTACAGCAACAGAAGACTCCCGTCTAACCGAAAAAACACGTGCAAATGTGTCGATCCATTCTTAGCGTTGCCCTATTGCAGTAAACTTAAATTTCCGCTGGTCAGTCGGGTTGCCAAGTTTGTGATTTTATCTTTTGCGGTTCGTTCGTGAACACGAATAAGTGGACTTTTTGTTTTCCGATCCGTTTTATCGAGTTCTTCGGAGTAGCCTTTTTCACTGATAGACAATTTTCGATAATCCTTCTCATCGTAAAATAAATAAATAAATAAATAAAATAAAAATTTATAATCGTATATAAAATCTTCCGAACTATGTAATCGTAGTCTTTACTTTTGGTGGTGCAAAATGAAAGCACGAAACGAATGCACGAAAAGATACTTAAAATATATTTAATTTTTTACTTTCTTGTACGAAGTAAATTAAGTATTGTGATCGCGAAAAATTTCGGGTATCAATGACAATATCCATTTTGACTGCTCCCGAATCCATTTTGACTATTTTTAGTGCTGTCTGTACGTACGGACAGAATAATGGATTTTTTTTTTTTTTTTTTTTTTTTTTTTTTTGCAAAATGGGTTGTAAAATGGATTAAAAACGGATTTTTTCGTGACATCTGTACATACGTACGTATGTATCTCGCATAACTCAAAAACCATTAGCCGTAGAACTAAGATGACCATACGTCCTGAATTTTCAGTCCCTGTCCCAATTTTTTACAACTCGTTTTTTGGTCTGGAATTTATAGAATTTGTCTCGAATTGCCCCGAAAAACAGAAGTAAGAGAACGCAAAAGTTTAACTGCATATATTTATTTACGTAGATCCCATATGCCTTATTATGATTATGATAACGTTTTTACCACCGGGGGCTTATTTTCAATCTCAAGAAACGTGTCCCATACTTATTTTTAAATTCTTTGAAAATCCAGTGGCAGAAGCTTGGCTACATTTTATTAACACTCAGGCTTCAAAATTTCATAAAGTTATTACAACAACTGAAAATCAAACGGTGTCTCTATTTGATGTAATTGCTTCAACGGATGCTCTAGCTTCAATATTGATCAAGATAGAAGATAACTTTATTCCAATAAATATTAAAGAGCTCTAGAAAAACTTGGAGAGAACAGAGAAGTGTCACAATACGAAATTACTGTATTTCGGAGAAACTCTTGTTTCATTTTATCAGAGTGCTTTTACTTACTGAGAATACAAGTTAAGAGTTAAGAGTTAGTGAAGTGATGTTAAGAGAGATACAAGTGAAGTTAAGAGACGGTCGTCATACCGGCCGCATAAACGGGGCATTCCCCATTTAGCGTTTATCTTAGGAAAAAACTGCAGTGGGAGAATTCTTGCTTTCATTCTTACATTTCTCTCTTCAACCCTCCCTTCAAACATACACGAAAGTTTTGCTCTCAGTTCACAATTGCAGTTCACAATTTCACTTACAGACAACACTGCAATTTTGGATTGATATATTAACTCCATTGCTATTTAAATTTATAATATATACATATTGATGCGTTTTCTTTTTCTTCCTTTACGGGTTCGTGCGATTTGGCGTGAATAACGACAGCACTGGACGAAGTATCAAAACACGATCTATTAGCCAGTATTACTCAAGATAGTTAGCTCCAAAATCACGTTTTTAAGTCGAACTACTATAAACACACTATAACAATCAGCGACACAGCAATCAGGCTATAACGGTGAAGACAGCTTCACGGTGAAGCACCAGAGTACAGCTCCCGACTCTGCTCGATCGCTCTCGGAACTCGTACTCTCGAGATTCTCCACTCTACAACTCGCGATGCACTCAATGATGTACAAGAGTACAGCTCTCGACTCGATTCATTCGTTCCCCGGAACTCAACACACTCTCTCGACGATGCACTTGGACTCGACGATCAACTCGGCACTCACTGAGTGACTATTAACTCGATACACTCTGCACTGACTGAGCAAAGTTTATACAACTCAGCAAAGTTTATACAACTTTTGGCTTGTGTTCAAGAACATTCTGGGCTAAACCGGTAAGAATTCGTTCCAGAAGGTTATCCATCCGTCTATGGCATATCGCCAATTTTGTCCCTAAATGTCGCCAAATGGGCGTTTTCTCGCCAAATGTGGCAACCCTAAACCTCTCTTGCGGGAAAGCTATCTTACCGCTCCTGGACATTTCGTAACAATATTATTTTTAACTTATCAGCCGTGCATTACATACATGTTCAACGGCGCATTATATACGTTAGTGTATATATCATCCCCTTATGTATCTAAAAATAATTCGTTTGTAATTTGCTGAAATTTCCTTGCACATACATCCATCTAAAATTATTTTTCTTTTCTCATGCTTAGATCACAAAGTTTTTACTCCATCGTCATTTTGATTTTAAAAGTTAAAAAAAAAAAAAAAAACTGCCGAAACCATGACGTATAACGACGTTTCTCATTTGGCAAAAACATATATATTTTTCATTTATCCACGGTGCATTACATACGTGCTAAGGGTATGTTTTACTGCAGTTTAATGAATTATTTATTTTTACCATTGATTTTTTTTAGTAATGTGTTCGAAAATTTAAAAAAAAAAAAAAAAAAAAAAAAAAAAAAAAAAAAAAAAAAATCTGAAATGTTTCAGATTTTAAATTACGTCCAAAGGGGCGTTTTTTAACATTTTGTGTGTTACCTTTCTTTATTAAATATCATGTTCCTCGCACTTAAACCATAAGATCCAGTGCAACAGCAATATCGCAAAATAGTTTTAAAACGAGCATATCTTTAGAATTTCCGATACAGAGACTCACGCGCTGGAGATAAAAATGTTTTCTCTGCACAACGTTGCCGTTGCTCGCTTTGAAATCCTTGAGTTTGTTAATCAAAAATTCGTCAAAGTTTTAAAAAATAGGAAATCGATCATAAAACAAATTTCAAATTTGGTCTTCCACATGCTCATATTCGTTGGAGGATTACGTTATTTAAAATTCGATGACTCTATGTACCGTTGTTTTATCACAATACGAGAAATATACATACATTTATGCAGATTTTTCATTATTTAATTTCTTCAAATATAATGCAGGACTCTAACATTTTGTGGCAACAGTTTGAAAAGTGAACCGACATTTATGAGTCCGACGCAAAATGCCAAAACGAAACTAATAGTCCTTCGGGATTCAAATCCCTTTGGACTAAAAAAAAAAGAAAGAAAGTGTACATTTAGCGAAGACCTACAGAAGGAACACCTGTTAATTGAAATAAACTATAAACGATTCCGAAGTACGGGGCAGTACATGCTCTTCAAAAGTTTCAATAAGCCATGGTAGACGTGCAAATATTAAATTTCATAGAAAGAGTAATAAACATAAAATGTCAAACTCTGCTGTTGCATCTAGCTCGTCATTAAAGAATTTTTTCAAACAGGAAAAAATGGGTGATAAAAAATAAGAATTAGATGCAGCAGAAGATACTTTTGCATGCCATACTATTTGCTACAACCATAACTTTAGGCTTATGGATTGTATGTCCAAGCTGCTTCAAGTGGCGTTTGAGCCTAAATTTACACGTGCGCTAATCAAGGCCGAAGCATTAATACTTAATGTTTTCATGCCTGATACTTTAAGAGCTTTTCACAATGATTTGGATAAATGTTCATTTGTTTGAATCTTAATTGATGTGTCCAATCGCAAGGAAAGAAATTTTTTTCCGATACTTGTTAGATTTAGAGACTGGAAATTTGAAGTTGGAGTAAAAAGTTTAGCATTTAAATCCTTACCTGGTGAAATATCCGATATTTTATTTTACTACCTGTCTCGAAGAAAATATTTAAAAGAAAACTTTATTAGTCTTTGTGCCAATAAATCCGAATTATAACTTTTGAGGAGCTGATAGACTTGAAGAAAATAGTGATTTTGTTAAACTGAAACGAAACCTTAACTATGATTTGAGCCGGATATCCATAACGCAATAAGTACATCGCCTGACATTTTGCCATTTGATATAGAAATGATTATTTCTAAGATATACGTTAAATTTTCTACTGCTAAAGTAGGAACACTGAGAAATTTCTCTAAGCTTGGCTACATTTTATTAACACTCAGGCTTCAATATTTCATAAAGTTACAACAACAATCGAAAATCAAACTGCGTCTGTATTTGATGTAATTGTTTCAACGGATGCTATGAAAGCTTCAATATTGATCAAGCTAGAGGATAACTTTATTCCAATCAATCTTAAAGAACCCTATAAAAACTTGAATAGAGAAGTGTCGCAATACGAAGTTATTGAATTTCGAGAAGCTTTCATTTTATCAAATTGCTCTTACCTACTTGGAGAAGTGGACAAAATGTATTTCAAGAGCTGGGAAACGCACAGCTGGATCATATTAATCGAAATCTTGGAGTCAGGTTGAAACAGCCTTTTTTTTAATTAATAAAATGATACGAAATCATAAATTATTGGAATTTGATATATATGAAGAATATGTTTACCTACATCACGGAAAAAAAAGCTATTGCAATGCTCAATAAATAAGATGTGCCCAGTTCAGAAGTGGGTGGAAATAATCGCTTATTTCAATAAGAATCAGATTCCTTGTTCAAATGCTTTAAAACTGCCAGAGTTTTTCTTTTGTCTTGCTGGCACTAATACTTCAACTGAGCGAGTATTTAGCATTATGAACAGTTTTGCGGCAAGTGATAAGACACTGCTTAAAGTGGACACTTTTGAAGGGGATGTTAATCACCAAAATACATTTTGATGAAAATTGCACGGACTTCAAATAAAAAAAGGAAAAGATCAAAAAAGAAAGAAGATCAAAAGAGAAAAAGATCTTCTAAGAAATAATCATTCACCAAAGAAATGTAAGGCTATTTCGTCAAATAATTCAAAAGGTTTACAAATTTATTACTTTGTTTAACTATGAATACTGCGTTTTGATTTATTCTTCACTTAAGGAATATTATATATATTACTATTAAAAAATAAAACAAAAATTATTTATTTTGATACGCAAACACACAA